AGGAAAGAGGAAAAGAGAACTACCTTTTGTTTGAGGAAGACGATGGAGGAGATGGGGTCGGATGCGCTATGGCGGCTTGATGGTGAGGGATGGTGATGCTGAGCGTTAGCTTGCTTTACTGGGAGTTCTGGTACTCTGTCTTTCGCCCTTTTAGGTTTGATGATGCATTCTGAAAACCTAATTTGATGTCATTTATTTTCTTCTTCTTGCTTTGTTGCCTTCTGTATGCTTGTGTTGCTTGTGTTGCCTGTTGAAATGCCTGTGATGAGGGTTCTCTGAGGCTTTGGGTATATTTGATTCTTTTCCTCTTTTCCTCTAGTTGCCTTGCCTTTGCCTATGCACGCTTCTTTGTCCCTTCTTCCTCTTTGGCTTGCTGAGTATGCTTCTGAGTTGCCTTGAGATATTTGTTGATGATATGCTTTCAATGATGAATCCTTTGGGTTCTGAAAATTTTGTTGCCTTTGAAATAGCTTACTTGATTTTTGATTGCTTCTTCTTATTGGCTTGTCTAGCTTGATTTTGGTTATTGGTACGCTGGGGTATGTTTGTGATGCTTTGATGATTGAGTATCTTGAGGCCTTTTCTGTATGCCCTGTGATGAATCTTTTCTGAGGGCCTGTGTGCTTGCTTTGCTGTGTTCTGAGATTGGATGCTATTTGCTTTTGGTTCAGGGCTTTTGAGGTTACAGGCCTTGGCCTTTTGGTAGTTCAGGTTTGGATATCTGGTATGCTTGTTTATGTTTGAGTGGCCTCAGTTTGGGGCTTGACAGTTTGTATGGTTTGTGGTATTGGGTGGTTATTAGCAGGTTTTGGCCTTTGGCTTTGGCCTTTTGACAGGTTTTCTGGTTATGTGTTTGGGCTTGAACAGGGTTGGTGTTTTGTTTGATGGCCTTACTAGTTTTCTAGTTTGGATGTTATGATGTTTCTGGTTTTTACTGGTTTTAGGCTTAATGCAGGCTTAGAGCTTTGATTGAGGCCAGCTTCAGTTTTTGTTTGTTTGAGACTTCAGCAGGTTTAATGCAGGTTTCTACTGGTTTATGGTTTATATTGCAGTTTGAGTTGGTTATGGACTTGGATGTTTTTCTGGTTATGGTTTATGTGCTTACAGGTTTTCTGGTATGATATGCTTGAGGCCTCACAGGTTTGTTCTTTTGACAGGGGTTAAGGTTTTGGTTGTAAGGCTAGAGGCCTTCTTTTGGTGGAAGGCAGTTTGGATGGTTTTTGTGTTTCTGTCTTGCTTTAGCAGGGTGGAGGCAGTTTTGAGTTATCTTTTTTGGTTTGTGATTTTCCCCCTTTTTCTGTGTTATGAACAGGTTGTCTTATATTTTGTTTCTCATGCCTAAAGCCTTAAGCCTGCAAAACCTGCTTTTCTCTCTTCTTTCTCTCTCCAGTACACTTCAAAATATTAAAATATGTTTTATGTGTACTTTTCTGAAAGGGCAACACTTGGGAAATGATGAAAATGAATTAGCTTGCTTGCATATTAATCTTTCTCTGCATATCTTTTCATATCTTCTTTTGACAGCTTTTGCTTCCTTGTGACAGTATCTTGTACTTTTGTATCTTTGATATCTTTGGCAGCCTTTTGGATAGTTTGGAATTTGTGATTCAGTTTGGACTTGTGGTTAGGCCATCCTGTTTGCCTTTGGACTCTGTAGTTTGACTTGGACTTGGACTTTGCATCATGCTGTTTGAGACTTGAACTATGCAGTTTGACAATTTTGACTTGTGAATTTCAACTTTGTGCATTCATGATTAGCAAACAAATATTCGTCCCTCTTTGTGAACCGGGAGAAATCCCGTAATTTGCAGAGAGGGCTAACTGATCCCAGTCAGTTGCCCTTAATGATGAACTTTATTTTTATCTGTCTTTTATTTATTTATCTGCTTCTAACTTTTCTTCTGTTCTTTGTTTTGCAGATAAAATTCCATGGAGTACTGGAGCAAGGGATAGAAGATGAAGAATTGAAGATTTAGAAACATACTTAGGATAATTTTTATTTATATTTAAATAAATGTAAAATCATTGTTGTAAACAATTTGTAAACAAAACAATTGTACAAATAATTTAAAAATAAATAAAAAGTTTCTTTATCCAATTAATTCTTTTCCTTTTTTTTTTTAATTGTTCGTTTTATTATTTATAATTCTTTAATTATAATAATTGAAAATAAATTCCAATCATTTAATCTTAGAATAATAAATAATTAAATAAACAATGCTTCAGCATTTGATCAGTTAAACCTGGCGTTTCAAACATCCAGAGCAAAACAACAGTCAATCACAGCAATTGCCCAGACGCTTTTTCCCTTTACTGACTTTAATCAAACATTGCAAATTCAAACCCAATGCAACCTTTTACTGATTCAGTCAAACAAATGCGAATTCAATCCAAATCTCGGAATATCTTGCAAAGCACCGTAGAATTAAATCTTTCTGAGGATGCGCGCATAAAAAACCCTAATTCCTGATTAAATGCCAAAGAAGCGTTCGCCTGATCGAAGTTGATCCAAAATCAACCAAAACCCTAAGCCAACTGTTTGAAACATTCTAGAGCCCTGAAAATCCGTAAAACCCTAATTTTTGATTGACTGACGAGAAAAGTCTGTTTGGCCGATTCTTGAGCCAATCTGAAAAATCAGGAAAAGCCTGAAGTTGTGATTTCTTGAGGAAAAATGCGAGGGCAAATTTTGGGGTACAACAGTTGCCCCTGTTCAATCTTCTTGAACCTGAAGAGTTAGATTGGCAAGCTTGCCTTTCGCGACTCGAAGGTAAAAGGAGATTGGACACTAAAGTGCCCAGAAAATTTGCATTCGGCGATGTGATGGTAGAGGTGAATGGGCTTAAAGATGCCATCTGAGAATGGGCTTAAAGATGCCATCTGATGCGATAGAATCTTGTCGGGGGATGGGCTTAGAGATGCCATCTGAGAATGGGCTTAAAGATGCCATTTGGTGACTGCTGGTAGGAGGATGGGCTTATAGATGCCATTTGGAAATGTTGAACTGTATTTTATTGGGGATGGGCTTAAAGATGCCATCTGGGATGAGTATCAGAAAGGTGTCCATGTTTTGGACCATCTCTGAACTGGGGGTCTGAATAAGCAATAGATCGACATCCGTATCTGGGGAATCCGTGAACTGTTTTCAGGAGTTGAGATTGAATAAGCAATAGATTAACATCCGTTGTTGGGAAGAATCCGTAAACTGTTTTCAGAAGTCTCGAGGTTGAATAAGCAATAGATTAACATCCGTTGTTGGGAAGAATCCGTAAATTGTTTTCAGAAGTCTTGGAGTGGAGAAGGAACCGGTGTAGGGTTTCCTGATGATGCGTCCGTGTAAAACTGCATCTGAGTGAATCTGGAATAAGTATCAGAATGTCGTCGTGTCCGGGTCACATCTGAACTATTTCTGGATGAATCTCGGAAAATGATCTTTGTCTGTCGACTGATCTTACCTGAAAAGGTAAAGGGTTAATTGTATGCAATGTTATGATGCATGATGCAATGTATGTGACATCAATGTTTATGACATGAATGTGATGAATGCGCATGTAAGCTGATGAGCTATCTTGCTGAGGATAAATGAATCCTAGATGGCTGAAGATAAAAGAATCTTGACTGCTACCGGGGAAAATAATTCTTTGGCTGCTGCTGTGGAGGGCAAGAATCTTCGATTGTTAGAAAAGAGAAGTCTTGGGACCACTGTTGGGGAAATCAGAAATTTGGGTTGTATGCCAAACTACTGGGGACTTCCTGTTTTGAGGAGATCTGTGTAGGATTTCCTGATGATGAGTCCGTGTAAAACTGCATCGGGTTTTTGAACACTTGTGACATTCGAATGCCCCAAGTGGTGATGTAGATAATTTCCTGGCTTGTTACAGGTGTTAATCCACAATCGGTCGTTCACAGATATTTTCCTGGCTTGTTACAGGTGTTAATCTGGAACTTAAGAAAAGTTGGTCAAGGAGATATTGTCCTGACTTGTTACAGGTGTTGATCTCTGACCTGAGAAAGAAAGATGGTTCCCTGGCTTGTTACAGGTGTTGATCTTCAATCTCTTCAGATGTGCCCTGGCTAGATACAGGAATCGAATCTGGAAATAGTCGTCAACAGATATGCCCTGGCTGGATACAGGAATCGAATCTTCAAACTCTTCAGACGTGCCCTGGCTAGATACAGGAATCGAGTCTGGAAATAGTCGTTAACAGATATGCCCTGGCTGGATACAGGAATCGAATCCTCAAACTCTTCAGACGTGCTCTGGCTAGATACAGGAATCGAGTCTGGAAATAGTCATCAACAGATATGCCCTGGCTGGATACAGGAATCGAATTTTCAAACTCTTCAGACGTGCTCTGGTTAGATACAGGAATCGAGTCTGGAAATAGTCATCAACAAATATGCCCTGGCTGGATACAGGAATCGAATCTTCAAACTCTTCAGACGTGCCCTGACTAGATACAGGAATCGAGTCTGGAAATAGTCGTCAACAGATATGCCCTGGCTGGATACAAGAATCGAATCTGGAATTGTGACAGTTGATCTGCTGGCGGTTGTAATTTCCAGCAGGTGGTGAAGTAATATCATAATGACAATATTGAAACTAGCCTTGACTTTTCAAACTATATCAGGGTCAAATTAAAGATAGACAAGTGGACGGCTTATTAAAAAACAAGAAAACAATAGCATAATAAAAGGAAAAAAAAAATATAGCTGGTAGAAAACAAAATCATGAATTTTCTTTTCTCTGTCTTCTTCATCTCATCTCCAAAATCACATATTTCTTCTTCTCACAAAAATTTTACCCTTCCACTTTCACCAATCTTGAATCCAACTCTACAAAAAAAAACACCATAACCAATATCCATGAATCCAACTCTACAAAAAAAACACCATAACCAATATCCATGAATCCAACTCTACAAAAAAAACACCATAACCAATATCCATGAATCCAAATATGAGAAGCATACCTAAAACAAAGTGATGGCGGCAACGACATGTGTTATACGGTAGCCTCCGGCGGTTGCTGCGTGATTGGCCGGTTGTTTGCGGCTATGATGTTGTGTCGATTGCAGACCTGGAACAAAATCAGAAGGGGATGCATGCAATTTGAATGGATCCGGGTTACTTCCGACGGCTGCGCTGCTTGCCGACGCGAATCGGTCTTGCGGCGCAGTGGATGCGGCATAACGATTCGATGTTGAGGGTCGACGGCTCGGCTACGAGTATTCGAACTCGAGAAACCATCTTTCTTTTTCTCCTGTTATTTTTCATGCAAAAAGATTTTAGATTGGATATTGCATAAACTTTGTTGTAGATTTTTTTTATTGTTAGTGATTATTAGAAAATTCATGTTTGGTAATATTATTTTACGGTGGCTTATGATAGAGTTTGACATTGTAAGCATAATTGTGTTTGGATTTGAAAATTAGAGATGATGATATAAGAATGATTTTGTTTTGTGATAAAAACGTGATATGAACTTTATGTTAGACATATCTGTTACAGGTTATGGATATAAAAGTTAGTGGAAAGAGTCACAAAAATTAGTGTACAAGAGCGTGATTATTTTGTTTACAGTAACAAACAAAGATGATAGTAATATATGCGTTGGTTTTAAAATAAGGGTTTGAACAAAGAATTATTAGTGTGATTTTGGAAATTATGAATATTGTATATTCAAAGATAATAATAATAACTATCACTATAAGATCATCACTTGACTAAACAGAACTAAATTAAAATTAACAGATAAAATTGAAAATAGTAAAGAGGGGTCTCATATATAATCATCGGCTAAAAATCGAAGAAAGTTTGAAATGTTTGAAAAAAGTGTGAGTTAAAGAAATTGTGGTTATTTGTTACCATTGTCTATTAAAGACAACAACCCTAAAATAAACTAAATACACCAAGTGAGAAAAAGTTAGTTGTGTGTAATTGAAAATTTGTGGATTTCTAGATATGTTTCTCAGAGTTTCTGTTCAGAAACCCTGAAATAAATCAGAAGTGAGAGAAAGAATGAGATTATGAAATCGTGGATTCGTGGATCAAAAATTATGTTGGATGATAGTCTTATTTATAGAATTAGAATTAGATTAAAAAAACTTAGCAAGAAAGTTATCCAAAAACTAAAAAAAGTCCAAAGCCTGATCTCTAAAAAAGGAAAGAAAATTAGTAACAAAAAATAGAAAAAAATATTAAAAATGCAACACAAAAGATTCAAACTCATGACCTCATACTTACAAACTTCATTTCTTACCAAATGTGCTATGTTACTTGTTTGAAATAAAAACTCAATTAAAAGTATATGAAAGTGAACAAGTATTCGTTATGTAAAATGCAAATAATTTGAAATAAACTATTATACATTTTTAAATGAGCAAAATAAATTATTGTTAAAATTTTAATAAAATTGAACCAAAAAATATTATAAAAATTAATATTGAAAATATTGTTGTCTATAGAAATAAAGGGCGAGCAAATTTGAGGTATGACATGTTGCATACCCAATAAATACACATTTATATGCTCTACTAGCAAGTTTAACTCGTTTTGGATTCAGAATTCTGACATAAGCCAGACAACCCCAAGTTCTCAAATAAGACAAGTTTGGTTGTCTTTTTTTTAATATCTCATAAGGAGAGATCTTACTTTTTGACTCGGGGACTCTATTCAAGATATAGCAGACAGTCAATAAAATTTCCCCCCACCGGTGAGGTGCAACACCATAGTTCATCATAATTGCAACAACAAGTTCAATAAGAGTTCTATTCTTTCTTTTTGCTTTACCATTCGTTTCAGGAGAATATGGAGCAGTCGTTTCATGTATAATTCCATGTTCTTTCTAAAAATTATTAAATAAACCAAAATCATATTCAGTTTTCCTATCACTACGAAGTTTCTTAATCTTCTTATTAAGTTGATTCTCAATTTCAGTTACATACATCTTAAACACGTCAAGCGCTTCACTTTTATTTTTCATTAAGTATACATAAGTATAATCAAAACTATCGTCAATAAAAGTGATAAAATAACATTTACTATTTCTAGTTAAAGTTCCATCTAATTCACATACTATATCATAGTGTATAAGATCTAGGGGATTAGATTTTTTAACAATTGATTTATGTGAAGTCTTAGTTATTTTAGCTTGACTATAATATTCACATTTATTTGAATCATTGACATTTAATTTAGGGATTAAGCCTAAGTTTCTTGCATTGAAAATAACTCGCCTATTAACGTGACAAAGTCTAGCATGCCAAATATTAAAATCACACAGAGTAAACTGAAGGAGAAATTTTATTCAAATAACCATTAAACTTAAACATGCCATCAGTGGCGTATCCTTTCCCAATAAAAATACCGTTCTTAGTGATGGTGTACAAATATGCCCCTATAGACTGACTAAACCATACCTTATTCAAAAGAAAATCAGAAACAAGATTCTTTCTAAGTTCAGGAACATGCATGACGTCCTTCAAGATTAAAGTCTTTCCTGAGGTGAAGTTCAATTTAATGTCTCCAATTCCAGCAACATCAGTGGTGTGAGCATCTCCCAACAACACTTTCTTATTTTCAGCATTCATGTATGTCTTGAACATAGCACGATCATAGTAGACATGATGAGAGGCACCAATGTCTACCCACTAACCATCATTACCACCAACCATGTTGATTTCAGTGATCATAGCAATGAATTGCTCATCAGATGGGTTAACCTATGCATTAGAGCCAATAGGTTTGGGCCTGCTCTTACATCTCTTAGCCATATGACCCAGTTTTCCATAATTATAGCAAGTGAAAACCGGAGCGTCATTTCTTTGAGTTGGTGATTGCTGTCTAATAATCAGAGCAAATGGGCCCCTTGAGGGATTCTCATTCTTAATTCGGTTCACAACATTGCGGTTTGGATTCTTTAATGGTTTTCCCGTAGGCTTCAGGGCCACATCGAATCTTGTTTGTTATTAGAAACAACTAAGACTTCATCGTTCTGATATTATTTTCTAGCTTCCTCTTAAATTCATAGGCGAGTGATCAGACTCTCGATTGAAAACTTTTATTTTATGGCGAAGCACGTTTTTGAAATCTTTCCAACCAGGGGGAAGTTTGTCAATGATAACAGCAATTTGAAATTATTCATTGAGGGGCATACCTTCAGTAATAATTTCATGAGAAATCTTTTGAATTTCGTGGCTTTGAGCTTCCACATATTTTTCATCCACCATCTTATAGTTCAAATAGAGACTGACAACATATTTCTTTGCATCTGCTTCTTCAGTATCATATTTCTTCTACAGAGCCTCCCATACCTATTTAGTAGTCTCATAATTACCATAGTAATCATACAGGTCGTCAGAGAGACTGTTCAAAATGTATTTCTTGCAAAGATAATCATTATCTTGCCCTAGGGCGATTTCTTTCCTGAGCTGTAAATTATCTGTCGCAGCTTTAGCTTTTGCAGCAGAGTCTAAGTCAGACGATTTTGGAGTCCCGCCTGATTCCATAAATGTCTTACCATTTGTTAGTTCAACTGATCCATAAGGAGTAATAGGGGTATCCTCAGTCAGAACATGGGAAACCTTCTTTAAAGTTAAGAAAATTTTCATCTTAGCTTGCCAACATTTGAAATTAGAACCCTCAAACTTAAATGGTTTGTCAGAGACAGTAGCAGCTGCAGTAGTACCAATAATTTCCTCAGTATCCATGGAAGTTAGAGGAACGTCTTAAAATTGTTGTTTTCGGTTTTTGAAAAGAAAATTATCGCGGAGGAAGTTATCGGCTGAGTCGCGGAACAATACACTTTCTTTAAGACGTTTCACGGTACTGCCAAAATTATGCAAGGCAACTCTTAATAACTACGACGCATTTAGGATAAAACAACTCGTTCACAAAATGATTAAAATTATCACTTGCATTGTGATAAATCGTTAAAATAAATACACCTTCCGATGGTGTTTAAACCACTTGTAGTATCTGAAGTAATTTCAGTCATTGATAGCACAAAAGGCCACTCGAAAAAACAAATAAGAAAGGATTTTAGTGAGATGAAAAGAACATGGAGGAAGAAGAGAGATTCCAAAAGTTTAGAAATCTTAAGTACGTTACCACTGAACTTAGGAACCTTATTAATAGATAAAAGTAGTGGAGAGAAAATAATGGGAAAGTCGAGAAAATTTAGTGGGAGGGAGTTACTTAATTAAAACTAGATTTTGATGTATGACTCATTATTAATTTATAATTAATTAATAATAATAATTAATTATACTAGAGTTAACTCCCATAAAAATAGGATGACTCTTTCAATTCACATCAAGTTTCCAACACAATATGTTCCAATTCACTTATTGTAGTATTGCCTGGTCCAATACGTATGGTACATCATCACCATAAACCATTTGAATATGTAAATTTATATACGTTCATGACAACTCATAAAACAAACTTACGAGTTATATGAATTTAGAGATGAAAACACAAAATCAAGTACAAGGAATAGAGTAGTTACATTTTCTTCTGAACATCAACTTGCTTCTGTTTACGCTCATACTCTTGACTGATCTTCTTCTTATCAGCCTCAACCAATTTCAACTTCTCGATGTTGAATTCCTACAATAAAATAGTGTAACTGAATTGAGTTACCAATTTCAAAGCGATTCAACAAAAAATGTGAAATACACGAATCAATAGGAAACAAATTAACAATCTATAGTAAAAGAGTGATGGAATGATGAAATTGAGAAATGGATCGAAATCCTGAAGTGGTGTGTAATTCTTCGGTGGAAACAAAGAATCATAGAAAGTTTTGTTCACTTTAGAAGTAGCCATAGTAAATAATTACGAAATTAAACTTGAAAATGATCACATTAGAAGTAAAATTTCAGGTACACATTGAAATAAAAACTGCTTCCTGAATCTCAGACCACTTAATACCACATTTATTTGAAATTAAAATTTACTGAGGTATCGGCTTAACTTACGTTACAACATAAGGCGAGTTCATAATCCATGTCATTCTCAAAACCTCGTAAGTACACTTCATAACCTGCAGAGTAAAAATATAATCGGAGTAACATTATAACCTTTTGCATAAAGAACCCCCAAAGACAATAACCATATCAGGTAAAGTGAAAAAGAGAAAAACAATGCAATGGAACCTAATAAGGAGGTTCGTAGCTCAATTTCCACTCCCAATATAATTCTA